ATAACAGCCAGATATTATAAGAGGAGCTGGACAACGGTCTTGCTGGAAGTTGTTAAAGCAGGTTTGTTTTTTTTTTTCTCAGCATAGCCACCGCTGCATAGAGGAGGAGGAGAAAAGGGCACATCTTTGAGTGGGTTGGACAGACCACTTCAACCGAAGCAATAGTGTAAAAAATGCTGAAAAAGGAGAAAGGATGTATGCTGTTTGCATGTGGATGTGCAGAGATACCCATGCAGCCACCCCACACACGCCCTCATGCATCTATAGATCTGAATGGCCCTCTTAGAAAAATACCAGGCTCATAAAGGGACAGTTTGCCATCACTTTTGTTAAAAGTCTTTGAGTCATGTCCTGGAAGGCTGGCACAGGGCAGGGTGAATGTCCTTCGTGACAGCTAATGCTTTACAATTTCGTGGCACCCTGAATTAGATATGCTCTACGTGCTGGGGGAAGGGAGAAAAAAAAAAAAGAAGCTAAAATAGATCTGATGACCACTGGCTTTCTGCTAACAGAGTGGGAATTCTTTTTTTCAAGTCCCACTATTATTACATTTTTTTGCACTTGCAAAAAATGACAAATGTGTCTCAAGCGATCACTTAGAAAATTAAATTGAACAAAGATACTTGCATTTTTTTTTGTGCTTGTTTTGCACCCCCCACCCCCCAGCTTCCTTAAGTCTAATATAGCAATTTTAAACAAGAAGGCTTGCACTGATTTATGCCCAAAATGTGCAATAAACCCTGGGTCCAAAATGCGAGACACGTACTCAAAACTGACCATTATGAGCTATACTTTCAAACCTAAAAAAAGAAAAAAAGGAGGGGGGGGGAAGGAAATCCAGACATTTTCAGGCAGTTTTGGGCCACACTTTTACAATCTCTTCGAACGAAAGCCCCGGCTTTTTCAGCGGTGAGCTAAGCAGGGGCACTTACAGCCTCCCTCTGGCAGCTGCGATTGCAAAGGAGCTTTTTTTTTTTTTTTTTTTGTCCTTTTTATTTTATTTTTTTTTAAGGCTACCTCTCCATATAACCCTGTCCCCCCCCCGGTAGCGAGGCCGGCCCTTGGCGTTGAGCGGAGCAGCGGCGCCCCCTACTGGGCGTTCGCTTCCCCCGACAGCTCCTCCCCAAAGCTGCTGCCTTCCCCCCCCCTTATACCCATAGCTGGGGGTTATAAACAGCCAAACATCGCCTCTGCTAGAAATACTGCTGATATCAGTGGGTCGTCCGTCAGGATAAAGCTGCAGGTTCTTCTTTACACCGGTTTTTCTTTTTTTTTTTTCTCAGCAGACCGCTCAGCGTTCGAACCTCTACCTTAGCCTTAGAATAAATCCTTTCGCTGCTACTTTTAAACGCGGGGTGTAGGCTAGCTCAAATATCCAACTCATCTCAACGAGATGGTTGTTAATAGCCCTGGCGGGGAGAGGACCTGCCACTTCGGTGAGAAGTCAGGAAAAAAAAAAATCGAGCTTAATTCAACAAGTTATGCTCCTCTCATTTCATATGACATTTCCAGATTATTATTATTATTATTATTATTATTTTTTCTTAACTTTGCCCGCACATCGTCAAGACCCCGTTTCAGAAATGGACTTTCAAGCCTGCTCTGCCTTTTAAATCCAGCGTGGGTCTCTATAATAAACTGTATACTCTTCTATATCCAACTCCCAGCAATTATTATTGCTGGCTGGAGTTTAAAATAAATCCATTTATCTCAGCGCCCTCTGCTGCTCGCTGCAGGCTCTCGTGTAAAGACAGGTTTCTGACACTTCTGACTAAAAATCCCGTTTTTTTGGAAGTGTTTGGTGCCTTTTCTTGCCAACTAGCTCTTTTTGTTCCTGACACTTTTCTTCCATATGTTCTCACGTGTATTTCAGAATTCAGTATTTTTTATTAAAAAGTTTCTTTGCAGTTTATTTCACGGGGGGGGGAATGATATAACATTGCAGGTATCTCAAAATGTAGCTTAAAATTCACTGCCTGCTTATTCATGGATATACAAAAAGAACTGATTTTGTGTGCATTTTATACCTTTTCTATGTGAATAATACCAAGACTCATCTCTCAAAATAGATCCAACTTCCCATCTTGTTTGCTGGAAAATCTAGTTTCCCTATTACAACTACAGACATAACTAGGCTTTTTCATAGAATCATTGAATGGTTTGTGTTGGAAGGGACCTTTAAAGGTCATCTAGTCCAACCCCCCTGCAATGAGCAGGGACATCTTCAACTAGATCAGGTTGCTCAGAGCCTCGTCCAACCTGGGGGACTGTCCAATGCTGGATGTTTTCAGGGATGGGGCTTCTACCACCTCTCTGAGCAACCTGGGCCAGTGTTTTGCCATCCTCATCGTGAAAAATGTCTTCCTTATATCTAATCTGAATCTACCTTCTTTCAGTTTAAAACCATTAGCCCTGTCCTATTGCTACGGGCCCTACTCGAAAGTCTGTCCCCATCATTTTACATTTTCCCCAAACCACCAGTGCTCATTCTTTGTGGAGGGACATCACCAAACTGTCTTGTTGCTCCCTGCTCACTTAGATGGCAGGAACAGTTTATAGCAAGCCAGGAAAGCTCAACCACATGTGCTGAGCCCCATGGACAGGCCCAAACAGTTTGCGACATTTAATAACCCTGTGGGGAAGAGACTGGGGGCTTTCCCATCAGTGGTGACCTCCTTGGGGACACCCTTTGCCACAGCCCCTTTCAGGCTGTTCCCAAACCCAGGATCAGGGTGAAGGAGCCACCTCTGGGCGTCAGGGCCCATCTCCCACTTCCCTGGGGTTGCTAACCTCCTTGTATGACTGCTTGCAGCCAGGGAGGACAAGGCAGAGACAGTAACTCAGTCTGAAATGTCTTCCCTGAAAAGGGCTCCAAAACATCCTAATAACCATGCATAGGAGCAAGTAGGCTAGAAAGGGCTGGTGTGACCATTTCAACCATCACTACTAACCACCTGTGAAAAGAAGGGACAGAAATACTTTTCTGAAGTCTAGCACAGTCTTCCCTGTGATTTCTGACCTTTTGTATAAGAGGAAGAGAGTCAAAAAGCTCTGCACTGGACAGACTTAGTAATGAACAATCAACCCAAGAGTCACAAAACAGAAATCCTACCAGCTGGCTTGTTGCCTCTGTCTCTTTCTCAGTTTTAAGAGAATGTTTATAACAATGTTTGACAAACCCATGGAATGCTTTGGACTCC